TATGAGTTCATCAAGTCTTACCTTCACCACATTTTTTGCTTCTTTAATGGCTGCTACCTCGTAGGCAAAGCGTGCAGGAAGTGACCTTAGTGTCTTCTTCACCAACTTAGCATCTTGGTATTTTTCTCCGATAGCAAAAGCTTCACTGGCAATGTCACAAAACTTTGAGTTAAAGTCAGCAATGCATTCATTCTCCTCCATATGCAAACGCTCAAAGCAAGTTGTTAGAATTTGCAATTTCGAAGCCTGCACAACATTTGTGCCTTCATGTGCCGTCTAGAGAATAACCTATGCCTCATTTGTCGTTTCACAAGTGGAAATCAATTTAAATTAATTAATATCCACTGCATTGAAAATAGCGTTTAAGGCTTTGGAAATGGTCTTAACCTCGTCATCCTTCATTGTAGGATGTGTCCAACCTGTTAAAACAGATCACCACGCCTTCTCGTCGATAACCTTGATGAAGGCTTTCATGCAAGCCTTCCAGTAGGGATAGTTGACACCTTCAAGATTTGGTGGTTTCATCACCGAGCCTCCTTCTCTCATAATATCCATCCTGCAAAACAACCAGTACACCCAAGACCTCACCAAAATCATGTTAGTGACCCTCTTTGATACTATATGTTGGTATCGGTTTGTCTTTTTATTAAGTTTCGTTATTAAATTGATTAAGTAAATATGTAAGAAATTTGAAATAATAAAAAGAGATAGGAGAAATGGTATCACATTCGGTAACCACCTACTCCGTGGGGCCACGCCCAGATGTTTGAACAATCCACTAAGTAAACAACGTTATAACTCAAATGGACTTATTCAACCCTAGACTCGCTCTCTAAGTACGATGCCTATGACCTTGCAACTACCCAATGAACTTGCTCAGCAAACTCCCTCGACTTCACGTTGAAATCCCTTCAACTCTTAGTTTTCTCCCGAAAACCTAAATTCCTTCTCCCGAAGAAATAAAAATACAAATGTTTACAAAATGATTTGACTCTCTGAAATTCTGAGGCTCTTAAGGCGTGCTAAGACCTTTGTGAAACTTCAATTAAATAGTCAAACATGACAGTTATAAGCAACTTTAATGCGGTCCACGACTCACAGTCTGCTACAGACTTTGTTGCAACAAATACTGCAACCGAACTGTCAAATCTGAGGCAAAGTCAACTTTCTGCATAATCCGAATATCTCCTCCATAAATGCAGTATATTTCTTGCAGATCACGAACCTGGATAGAATAATACCTCAAAACAGAAACAACTTTCCCAATCAAATTTCAACTTTCCAACAATGCACATAAGTTGACATTTTCCAAATCAATCAAATACAACTAATTTGACACAGTTTCCCAATCATGTTTGCTGCATAATCTAAGTAGATGTTTGTTTCTTGTATTCGTCTTTGATTATAAATCATGATTCATGATTTTCTACAGTATTTTTCTCTAACAAAAAACACATGTGAAACGAGAATGATTCTGAATCCATGAACCAAACGTCCACTAAGTTTCCTTATTGCTTTCAATTAGCCACAAAGTTTCCAAAACAGACTCTCAATTAAATCATCAATAGGAATTCGAAATCCTCGTATCAAGCAAAAAGGAAACAATCAAAAATCCTCCCAACGGAAACCTGCAGCAAAACTCAAAACAAAACATTCCCCAAATAATGTCCTTGTTGTCAATCATCCCTCAATCAGATCACCATCAAATCTCGCTCAAAATAATGCCAACATAAAAAATTAATCAAAGCTGAATAAGGCAAATATCAAGACCAAAATCCCAACAGTTAGTCTCACTCCACATGTTATAAAATGATAAAAACCCTTATCATGGTTTTGGACGGTTTGCTAAATACACTGAATCGTTTCGCCAATGCTTTCAAACAGTAGTATATTAATTACTACAAATTAAACTAAAGTGTCATTGTCAATATCTATATCAAGCCAAATGCCTACTGGGATAAGACATTGCCACGTGATCAACAGAGCTGTTCGATTAACGTAAGCTATTAACCAATTCTTATGTCAATTGCCTAGAGTCAATTCATAAATCTTAGTTTAAACATTTCTACAACTACCATACATTACTATATCAATATGTACAATATGCTTAATTGCTTCCAACCTCATCTCATTTCCAGCTATATACTAACATATATTATTGTTGTCTTTGTTCCCAACATGCAAATGATAAATATAGGATAAAAAATTTTAATAAATTCTGGAGCACTGATCAATTAGTCAAAGTAGTAGAAAGCTCCATTGTTTTCTCCACAACATATTCATAAGTGGTTCAAAAAAAACAAAAGAAGAAAAAAACCCAGTACGACTATGTATAATTGTGATTTCATCATTTCGAAATAGTAGATCAATGCAATATTAATGCATGTTATGTTAATGACGATAAGGTTTATTTTCAATTTTACGATTAAACTATACTTATTAATCTTTACTTTTATTACTTCTCCACAATCAATATACCATGCCTCTGACTGCTTATTCGTATACTACATAATGTAACTTTAATCAAATTCAATTATTGAATATTCAAATGACGTTAATTAAATTGTACTTGGATGATAATTTTAAATTTTTCATTACAATTTTTTCATGAAGTAACAAATGACGTTAGGTATAAAACAAGAGTACTAATAAATACAGAATAAAACTTTAAAGAAATTTCATTAGCAAATAATGTAGTTTTCGAAGAACCATTTTGCTTCAAGTTGTTCTGTTTGATCAAAACATACTCGCATCCAAAATTTAGGCACAAATAATTATCTATCATAAAAACCTAGAAAGTTCGGCTTGTAATTCTTCGATGCTATATTATGGGCTAAAACAATTTCGCCAAAATTTTCTGCGACCAACTAATCAGGTCTTATAAGTTGATACTTTTATCGAACAAACCTGTTATTTGGTCTCCAAAAAATATCGTTAAAATTTCTTTTGTATTCAAATCATTTTAATTCCAAATAGTGACATTTTGTTTCTAAAGTTTGTTCCCATAAAATGTTATTTAGCAACCAAATATAATTTAGGTCGTAAAATGTTTTCAGTGCCAACTAAGTTTCTTCCCGTACAATATGTCGCCGACGAATTGGTCATTAAGGTTATGGTAGCATTTCAACTTATGGCGACCACACTTTGGCTGCAAAATGATCTTTTGGGCGGCCAACTATTTTGGATCATGAAACTTTTAGTCGCAGAATGTCAAATTGATTGTATTGGTTATTATTATTTATAATTTTTAAGTTGGTTCGGAATATAGATAGCGATCACATGTGTTTATACTCTCTATAAATAGGGTCGCATTAATTAGATTTATTTTTAATATAAAAGGTTGATTAATAAAGAACTGTTCCATAAGCTGTTAATGAAAAGTTTGGTGTGCATATTCATTTCTTAATTTCTTTTTTTTCGTTTAATTAAAACGCCCAAGGATGAAATGGGATTCAGTTCCTAGATAGAAAAGAACACATCAAAATTGTTGAGAAAAAGTACATGTGAAGTTGTCCTACAGAAAGATCCAATACCTAATAGGTTAACCTTTTAGGTTAAGTTGGGCTCCTAAAGTGTGTTGGGCCAGTTTCACATGTGGAGTCTCCCTAACAAGTGGTATCAGAGCCGATGGTTCGTATGATCAGTCAAGCGATCACACTCGGTTACAATTCTCACACATTGCCTCCAGTGGAGAGTTTGTGTTCCCGCAGATGTGCGGATGGTGGAGCATTTGGTGCATGGTTTCGGCTCTCTTTCCCATGCTTGAGTTGACTCTCGTTTGGAATGTGATGCTTGGATGTGCTGGCTACTTGAAACTTTAATTCGAGGGGGAGATTGTTGAGAAAAGTACATGTGTGTGTTGTCCCACATAGAAAGTGGATGAGAATGTTAAGTGGTTTATATACACAGAAGGACTCAAGACCTAATAGGTTAACCTTTTAGGTCAAGTTGAGCTCCTAAAATGTGTTGGGCCAGTTTCGCATGTAGAGTCTCCCTAACAAAAATATCTGATACCTTTCCATTACCAATAGAAAAGCTTAATATCTTAAAAAGTTGCACTTTAAGATACTTGCGAGACTAGCTACTATCAATTTATATTTTTATTATTCGGAATTTTAGAAGAACTTTCCACTCTTACAAAAACTAGGTTAACTTTTGAAAACTCCAAAAGTTAAAACACAGGTTACGTGCATATCAATGTAGGCAATATAGAGGAAAGTAAAAGATATAATTAATATTATATAATAAAGAATGGAAAAATATTTGAATGTGATCAAAATGTGTATGCATCTCATCTAAGTATGATATGATATTGATTTGTCTTTTATTATTCATGATTTAACCTATATGTATTTTTGATACTTGTTATACGTGGAACCCATCATATGGATATTGGTATAGAATTTACAATCTCAACAATACTAGTAGATGAAAAGACGCAATATTCCTTTTTAAGAAATGAGTAATCCGTATATATCTAATAATTATCATTCGTTAGTCACTTGTTCACTACTTCAACTTCCTTCTAACATAAAATAATCATCAAATTAGTATCTTTTAGAAAACTTGAAACATCCACTCCACTTAGCATAACATATTAGTCCTAATTAGTTAATAGATAAATGCAAAGAGAATGAATTAAGTTAATTCACTGATAAAATTAATTATGAGCTAAAATACAGCTAGATTAATTCACCAATTAACTAAGTCCAGCCTTGTTTCCACCTCCTATAATCACCATCATTTTCCACTTAAGGGGCTTTTTGGTCATCTACCAAAAATAGAAATTTAATAAGTGTCGTTCGTTTGCATGCTAAATTTAAACTTATCTCTAGAAGCTAACTAACTAAGCCTGCAATTATTAGATTCTTTCTCTCATGAAATCATCTCTCTCAACGGCAAACAGTTGACTCATTCTTCATTTGTCCACTAGCACTAATTCTCTGCAACAGAAAATTAAGATCAACGGTGAAGATCGCTTTATCACCGATCGATAGATCATGGAAAAGTTTGATCAAATCAAGTGGGGTACTTCCGATGATCAGATCAGCGGGTCAGGCCAGGTAAGGTCCTACACTTGTAACTTTTGCAAGCGTGGATTCTCAAATGCTCAGGCTCTTGGTGGTCACATGAACATCCACAGAAGAGACAGGGCAAGAATCAGGCAATTCTCCGAAGAAAACAATAACCAGGTTTCCCAGGAAACAAACACCAATATTAATCCCCCCCTTGATATTAATGATGATCCTAACACTAATTTGCATGATGAGAAAAGTAGTACGTCGTTTGAGTTGGAAAGGTTGAGTGAACAACAAAGTGGTTTGAACATTAATAACAAAAATCCTTATTCTATGGTGAGAGATCATGATCAATTATATCATGATCAGCAGGCCATGGCTAGCCATAGAGGCAAAGTTTTTGGTGGTGAAGAAGTAGTTCAACAGATTCCATTTTTTGTGGAGGAATCGTCGGAGAAGACGCCGGAGAAGACGACCGAGGAATTGGATCTCGAGCTCCGGTTAGGACGGGAACGTCAAGATGCGTCGACAAAGCACTTGAGTACAAGGGAATTCTTTTGAGTTTCGTCGTCAATTCGACGGATATCGCTGGTTAGTTGGGATTTATGATGAAGACGGGTGATCTTTTCTTAGTTGCCTCTTCTTCAACATTTTCATTTCTTTTTAAATGATTATATTAATTTTCTTTTATTTCATTAAAATATAAAAGCAAAATCTAAAGATTGTACTTGGCACATATATTGGTTGTAATTGTTTTTTATACGTACATTAATATTGTTTGTAATTTTTGTTTCTATGTATGGCATATATATATATGGATTTATACGTATTATAATTTTTTTTTTTGTTTTGCTTTCAACTGAGAATTTAAATAACATTGTTGCTCATTGTAACTGATGGCATATGTCGTCATATGTCGTCATTGTTTTTAGCTTATAATGCTTATTGTTTTGGGAAACTTGTGAAGAGCGAAGATAATACCAAATGTTGTGTATCGTTCAACACACATCCTATAACTAAGTCGTTAATTTCTAAGAAAAAGAGACAGGGAGATTCTGTACATACACTTAAAATGTCATTCTTTTTTTTTTCATTTTAATTTCTCCTTGGTGGAATTAAAGCATGAAAAAAGAATGAGAAATCTGTATTGGCCGAAATAAGGATAATTATTTTCATAATGCCCTATGAATTACGAATCGTTTTAAAATACCACCTAATTGTTTAAAATATTTAAGTAGAGAATCACTTGAAATTTCTCCTTTTGTCCACTTCTGTTTATATCTTAATGGATTTACTAACGTCGGCATGCCATCAATGGGTAGCTGCCAATTGACTCAGAACGGCCCGATTAGTAAAAGCACTAAAAAGATATTCAATTTGCCCACTGAAAATTTTTTCCTCACCGCCTGTAACAGCCATAGTTGGAGATTCAGACCCAAATTGCATTTTCGGATAAAATAAGGTGAAATTGATCATTTGATATTGAGCTTAAATCACCTAAAATAAGGCGAAGAAAAAGGGGTGGACCGGTGTTTGTACCGTCAGTGAGAAGCCACGTCAGCAAATCCATAAGGGACTACATAGATAGAATTGGACGGATGATGTATTTTAATTGAATTTCTGTTAATCGAGGTGTCTTGAACGGTTTTAAACAAGATCATTTTGAAAACGGTCTAATCAAAGGCCATTAAGGAAAATAATCCTTAAAGTAATAAATGATGAGTTTGGAATCATGATCACAAATTCATATATGATTAGGGCTCGTTTAGTTCGCTGATTCGAGTTTTTAATTCGAGTTGAGATGTGATTTTATGTGAGAATTTTTTATTATAGCAAAAAAGTTAGATGTGATTGTTTGTGAGAGCTTTTTACTGTAGCAAAACTCGAATTCTAAACTCGAATCAGCGACATGAACGAGGCCTAATATGTTTATATATAGAGAATTTGGTTTGAAGTGTTGTAATGAATATTTGCTACTGAAGCTTCAGAGAATGGTGAAATATTGTACGAAAATCTAAGACACGTATCGTAATGCTCGTGCTTCATTGGTGCCTGATAGCTAAAGTGATCTGTTTGGGTTCATAATAGTTTTCTTTTAGATTTGTGAGGTTTAAATATCATTAGCTGCGTTTGCTTTACAAAAAGTAATAGAACAACAAAATATTCTGTTAGGTCCGTTTTTTGGTCGGTGTCACAAAGAGTGTTGCAACACTAGTTGTAACACTGATGACAGATACGTTGAAATTAAACCGGCAAAAACACGACAGAGAATTGAAAACGTGCAGAAATAGAAAATAATGCAGGGGAAAAACTAAAGAACACCAAAGATGATATCGCAGTTCGGTGCGCACACCTACTCTGCGGGGGCATGCCCAGACAATGAACAATCCACTAAGTTCAAAGGATTACAAACACTAATCGGACTTATACACCCAAAGACTCCCTCCTTGACGTTGTCGCTGCCGTGTCGAATCTCCTTAATGGCCTTGTCCAGCGAGCACCACTCGTCTTCAAAACTGCAAGGCGAAATCCCTTTGGCTGGCAGTGCACTTTCTCCCGAAAGCTTCTAATTCTTCTTCCGAAGGACGATCTTCAATCAATACATTAAGGCTCACTCTCACATAGACTTTTTCTGAATATTTTTTCTATACAAACTATGCCCCAAATGTCACCTTTAATTTCTAAAAGCTCAAAGACATAAAAAACAATTTATCTTCCTCCCGATGCACACCCCTTCACGTACACACATGCAATATATATAATCATAGCACCAATCCAGATTTTTCTGTTTTCAGCCCTGTGTCACCACCCACTACACGTTCTGCCATCGCACTCTTATTCAACCTGCCTCAAGTCTGGAAAATAATCAGCCATCAATACCAATCAGTCCACCCCTTGATTTTCTGCTAATTCATTCACCGAAAGTCCACCTCTTGATTTTTTTCAGCAATCAAATCATTTGATTTTTAGCCCATAAACATGACAACAAGACTTTCCTTAAGAGGTCTACCAATTTACAATGCTAGCCAATCTTACAATCAATTTGCCAAAAATAAGCCAACACAAAATGCACTAACAATCTCCCCCTTTGGCTATTTTTGGCAAAACTAACATTGTTAACAAAAGGAACCTATTACAAGATAAAAGATAAAATCGTTGAATTAAGAGCTCTCCCCCTTTTTGACAAAATACAACCAAAGTTAAAAATAATACTAATAGAAAAACCTTTTAGAAGCTGGTGTCACATAAAGTGTTGTAACACCAGATGGAACACTCGGTATAACACTTTCCTGCAAATCACATTCCAATTCATTGATTTCTGGAACTTGCTCCCCATGAGTCCTCTATGAGTCTTACTTCTCCTGAATATAATATTCTTCCATGCATATTGCTTGTATCATCTATCAAAAGCTTGGAGTGACCATTACCACAATACTCAGTGCTAGTAGTACATGTTTTAAAAGAATTATAAGTCTCATGACACCTTTAATTTCTAAAAGCTCAAAGACATAAAAAATAATTTATCTTCCTCCCGAGGCACACCCCTTCACGTACACACATGCAATATATATATAATCATAGCACCAATCCAGATTTTTCTATTTTCAGCCCTGTGTCACCACCCACTACACGTTCTGTCATTGCACTCTTATTCAACTGCCTCAAGTCTGAAAAATAATCAGCCATCAATACCAATCAGTCCACCCCTTGATTTTCTGCCAATTCATTCACCGAAAGTCCACCCCTTGATTTTTTCAGCAATCAAATCCTTTGATTTTCAGCCCGTAAACATGACAACAAGACTTTTCTTAAGAGGTCTACCAATTTACAATACCAACCAATCTTACAATCAATTTATCAAAAATAAGCCAACACAAAATGCACTTAACATATTCAATTATACCATACTCGTTTATTGCTTTTATTTGAACTTCTAAACGCTAATGTATTTTCTTGTTATGTTACGAACAATATGGCAAAAAATTAGTCTTGGAATAAGCCTTAACGAGTTGTAGATTAGTTAATATAGAAAATATATATGAGCAAGAATTTTACTCTCAGTATTAATCACCCCTGGATATAAATATATATATATATGATATTTGATTATGAATATCCATTTATATATTTAGCCCAATAACCCAGAGGCCTTGCGAGATTGTCAAGGAGCGAATTCAAAGCAAGGGAATCGAACTCAGCGTTTACTAGCTGCAACGTATGTTGGAGGCCCAATTACAACAAAACTAGAATGCAGATCATAATTTGCCTTCATATAGATCCAGCCGATTCAATGAAGCATAATTATCGCTAATTAGATGTGATTATTTTTAAAAAAAATTTATTATAACAAAAATTTAAATCGGTGAAATGAATGGAGTCTATATTGATACCTATTATCATATAAAAGCATCTCATCATTAGCAAAATTATAAAAATAGACAACTTATACAGTGTCAGGGATTTGTTATTGGCACGTGGAGTAATGAAAGATATTCAAGAAATTCAAAAACCAAATTGTGTTGTCCTGTGTTGCAAAGATTGTTGTTTGCAACCAAACCGCAAGTATACAGTGCCAAGTTTTAATAGTAAAGTACTGAAAAAATGTTCATATGTCCTCAGGATTAATGTAATCAAATTAATTCTTACTCATTATTGTGATTGAATAATTTTAATTTTATCTAGAAAATCGAATTAATTATGAGTATAAATATTAAAACAAAAATTAATACTAAGAAACTAAAACAAATTTGAAATTGCAATTGAAGAATAAAAAAATGTATAAAAAGTTAAGTGGTTCGATTTCATTTAGCCGCCAACCTTGAGCAATTTATTACTAATTAATTTTCCCACTTTAATCTAATTCAACTCCCTAGTGCCGAGTGAATATTCCTAAAATTTGATTTCAATGTCTCTATTAAAAATTAAGAAAATAAGAAATAATTACATTCAATGGTTCTTCTCAAATAGACTTCAAAGGATTATAAGCCTCCTAAACTTTATAAAATTCTAGGTTGTGTTATCATGATGTTAAATCTAAAATCTCCTCTCCTACTGTTGGATTCAAAATACCAAATCATCCAATTAATGGCCAGTCAATTGAGATGCATTAAGATCAAAATAATACAAATAAACCATAAAAAACCTCTTAAAATAAATTGAAGATTCAAGACATAGTATCAAGCATAGGCTGCATGATCTCTTCTAGATAAAGTAAATTAGTTCATTATAAAAATAAAGAAAAATAAAACCTTGTCTTTGAACATAATGAAAGGAAAAAGAGAAAAACTGATTTGTACTGGAATTCTTCTCCTTTTCTTGCACTTTCAAATTACTCTCCAAAGTTTGCACCAAGCTCGCATATTTTAAAAAACTCGAAATACTATTTTGTTTCCCATTTTTTCACGCTGGCACTGCGGCTTCCCCTTTCCCTGTCAAGTCTGGACAACTCTATGGCGTATTCCAGAGGTAATGCATGTATTTGGATGATCTTTATGCTGAGGGAAAGCGTTTTTTCGTAGATGCAAACTCTGGCTTCTTATTTGGGGCTCTTGAATTTCCTG